TGGGCAACAGATTGGAAACATTCACTATACATTCCCATCCACAAAAAAGGAGACACAAAAGACTGCAGCAACTTTAGGACTATAGCACTAATCTCCCACGCAAGCAAAATTATATTCAAAATTCTGCAACATAGACTCCAACCACACATGGAGAGAGAAATCCCAGCGGTCCAAGTGGGGTTCAGGAAAGGAAGAGGCATCAGGGATCACATTGCAAATATACGATGGCTCATGGAGCATAGCAGGGAGTTCCAAAAGAAAATCAGCATGTGCTTTATAGACTATAGCAAAGTCTTTGACTTCATAGACCCCGAAAGGCCATGGAATGCCCTTAAAGACATGGCAGTGGCAACACATCTGATAGTCTTGATGAGAAAGCTGTACTCAAGATGAGAGGCTACTGCCAGAACAGAACACGGAGAAACAGAATGGTTCCCAGTTGGCAAAGGGGTCAGAAAAGGCTGCATTTTATCACCCTACCTGTTCAACCTATATGCAGAACATATTGTAAAAAAAAGCTGGATTGGACATAGAAGAAGGAGGAGTGAAAATAGGAGAAAGGAATAGCAACAGTCTAAGATATACAGATGACACCATAATATTAGCAGAAAACCTCACAGACCTACAATGATTACTAAGGAAAATCAAAGAAGAAAGTGCAAAAGCAGGCTTACTGTTGAACATAAAACAAAATAATGACCAAGGAGAATCTACACACATTCAACCTAGACAATGAAGAAACAGAAATAGTAAAAGAGTTCTTATACCTGGGATCAAACATTGATAGAACTGGATACTGCAGCCAGGAAATCAGAAGAATATTAAGAATGGGGAGGGTAGCTATAAAAGAACTGGAAAAGATCCTAAAATGCAAAGATATATAACTCAGCACAAGAGTTAGAATCATACAAGCCATTGTATTCCCTATTACCATGTATGGATGTGAGAACTGGAAAGTTAAGAAAGATAATAATAAGAAAATCAATGCATTTGAGATGTGGTGCTGGAGAAGAGTGCTGAGGATCCCAGGGATGGCCAAAAAGACAAACAAATGAGTCCTAGAGCAGATCAAGCCACAAATCTCCCTAGAAGCCAAGATGACAAACCTTGGGCTGTTGTACTTTGGATACGTCATGAGAAGGGAGGACTCACTGGAAAAGACAATAATGCTGGGAAAGGTGGTGAGAAGTAGGAAGGTTGCATGCTAGATGGATGGACTCTATTAAGGAGGTCACAGGTGTGAATATACAGGAACTAAGCAGAGTAATGGAGGACAGGGGATCTTGGAGATGTCTCATCCATAGGGTCACCGTGGGTCAAGATTGACTTGAGGGCCATTAATAACAATTTTTTTAACTGCTTATGTGGGATTCCACATGGCCAATGTCACATTTAAACTGTGTTACCAGTTGCTGCACATGTAACATTACCACACTAAGGCCCGAAACAGACAGGCCAAATAACGCAATTTCCGGCCACATTCAGGGCGTAGCATTTAGATGATGCACGCCCTGAATGTGGCCGGAAGCCATGCCGAGACTTTGTCTTCACAAAAGAACCAGGCCAAAAAGGAGTGGACAAGATCCGCTGCTTCTGCTGGCCTGGTTCAGGACCATGGCAGGAGCCTGGACCGGGGCTGGGCATGTGCAGTCACTGTGGTCCTGAAACAGTCAGGGCAGGAGTGGTCTTTGGTGCTCCTTTTCACCCATTTGCTCAAAGCCTCAGTGAGGATGCACCTGAGACATGACTCTTGGTGCTAATCAAGATTTCAATGTGGTACCATTACTGAACAAATTTCTCCATCCATTTCATAATGAATATCTCCAGAACTACTCAGATGGAAACCTCATAATATATTTTAAATACACATATGAAAAAAAAATGAAATTTGCAACTAACAGGCAATGTATTAATTTTTAAAATATTTCTAAATGTAGGACAGCTAATTCAGTGCAAAACATAGATGTGTTTCCTTGGGGGTAAGAATGTGCATCTCACCACCTTGACAGCATGGTTGATTGGAATTTGATGTGTGTCCTCCCCCTGCAAAAACGCTGTTTTAACTCTGCCTTTTTTGTTTTGTTTTGTTTTATCTCTTGGTAATGTGCAACCAAGTGAGAGCCATTCTATTTCTTTCTTGTGTCCTTGATCCAAGGTTTATCTTGCTGGTATAATGTAATTCATTGACAAGGAGTTTGAGCTTCTGGGTGATTTTCATCTGCAAATTTAAAGCTACTAAAAATCTTTTGAAGCATTACACTTAAAATAATCAGCTTAGTAACTTTGTCATTAAACTTTATTATAAGACCTATAAGATTCTTTCCCCACTTCATCTGGTTTATGAACTCCTTTCAGAAGGGAAAAATGGTGGCAGTGTCACTGTCTGTTTTATATCAAAGATATAACAAGCTTCAAATGTTCTGTTAAACTACTTCCTTGGGAGAGAAAAGCTCATAGGCAGTGAAAATACACATGAAAAGTTTGGAATAGCTTTGAAAAAGATGGACAAGCATAATGAAATAGTGATGGTTATGCAGAACAATCCTGGACATTGCATAAAATAGCATTTAATATTAATTGCAAAGAGGGTAAATTGTATTGCTCTGCCCATATCCTGCAGGCTCAGGGCCGTGGCCTCCTTGATCCATCTGATATGTGATCTTCCACTCTTTCTATTGGACTCCACCTTTCCTAGTGTTACTGTCTTTTCTAGTGAGTCATCTCATGATGTGGCCAAATATGACTCAATTTAGTCAAACTTAACCTGTTCTAGGACCCATTTGTTTGTCTTTTTGGCTGTTCGTGGTACCCTTGGCACTCTTCCCCAGATGAGTTATTTTTCTTTCTATCAGCTTTCTTCACTGTGCAGCTCTCACATCCATACATGGTGATGGAAAATACGATGGCTTGGACAATCCTAGTTTTGGTATTCAGTTTAATATCTTTGCACTTTAAGATCTTGTTTAGTTCTTTCATAGGTGCTCTTCCCAACCCATGTCTTTTTCCAATTTCTTTTTTTTTTAACCTTCTAACATTTATGTTCTGTCAACTCATTCAAAAACCTAATTTTCCTTGCAAATTCCCCTCTACCACCATTCTCTTTTGAACCCCCTCTTCACACCCCACACTCCTCACCAGTTCCTTATCTATCTTCCTCCTGTTTCCTTTTGTTCTCCCTCTTCCTTATCCTCTCTTCCTCATCCCCCCTTCTTTGTTTCTCCTTTCACCCTCACTCTCCTAACACCTTCTTCCACTTCTCAACCACTTACATACTTGCACACACCATCTCTCAACATTCTCTAACTCTGTAAACCTTTCCTAACCTTCTTTAATTCTATCTTACCATCATATACCCTCCCTCCCCATCCCTCTTATCTCCATTATATAAACTTTTCATACCACTTCCTCACTACCAAGTTCTAGCTTTTATTATTCCAATTGACTTTCTTATCCCTTTATTATTCTATTACATGTTCCTCAACTGTTATTACGATCTACTGTCCACTTGACTTCTGAGAGGAGGAAAGAGGAGGAATCCTACCTATTTCCTATCATATTCTAAGTACACCTTATAATAATAGTAAATAAACTTCTCAGCCTTTTGATTAAGATCAAATGTAGTCTTTTTCCAATTTCTTGACTGTAATCCCCATTTTGATCAATGATTGATCCAAGATATGGGAAATCTTTAACTATTTTAAATTTCAGTCCACATGTTATTTGAGTGTAATGCCCATAATCTTTGCAAACTGGCTGTGCTGCATCTCGTAAATGTACGGTAAGTTAGAATTTATTAATGTCTGGATCTGGACCTCCTAGTTTGCTCTCATTTTCACTAATGTGAGATAGCAGAAGGTAGAGAAGTTCTCCATACCCAGTACTATCAAGATTCCAAGGAGAAATAAATAGTATTAGAATAATCTGTTTCTCCCTTCCTGTGGAATCTGCCCATTTACAGCTACCAAAGCAGCAACTACCTTGCTTGGATTATGTAAGAATCAATGCTGATTTGCACAACTTTATGGTAAGACATATCACAAGATGATAACATTATAACTTGACCAGAGCCTGAGAATATGGACTATATAATGGATGTGTCTACTACCTACCTACCTACCTACCTCTTCAGTTTTGGAGAAAAATATACTTGCAGATCCACTTGTCTCTATATTTACCATCTAAAATAAAAAAGAGCAAAATATGAATTGAGAAGCATGTTTATCAAACATCTTCTCTTCATTAACAAACACTGCAGAGTGATTCCATTACTTTCACGAACCTCTTAAACAGTTGCTAATTTAAGTTAAAGTGCACTATTAAGTAATAAATAACATTCACTCCACTGAAAAAGATACCTTGATGCAGGCAGCTTTTATTAAGGTTGCATATGGTATTTATTGATAACTGGGAATTTTAGCAGTTGAGTTATTGTGTGGATTAGCTGCAGTGTTAAAGGTTCTCAGCTTTAAAAGCCTATGTCTGTTTTAAATTTCCCAAGTTCCACCTTTATTTATAGGCTGGTCTGTAACCTTAACCTTTAACATTTTTAACAACACAGTGTCAAGACAAGAGAAGATCCAAGCTGCTGTTTTGGCATTGTATTTTTTTTAAAATTCTAATTAGGTAAATGTCCCATGACCAAAACCAACCTCAACAGAAATTTCTTCCCCTCCAGTATGCAGCCCTCCACACTCCCCAAAAATTGGCTTCCAGCCCTTCAGAGTAGTTTTGTGGGAGAGGCAGACTGCATTGCCTTCTTGTTTGGGTTCCCATGTCTTTAAACATCTTTCAAAGAGTGCAAAGCAGACAGAATGATATTTAAAATAGTCACCATTTTCAGAGAAATGGCTTTATACAAAAACAGCATTCCAAAATTGGGGAAATTGAGCCAGGTTTGAAGTCATTGAGCATGCCACACACTTTACCTACTGAAGAAAAGTCTATTACAACAAACACATGAATTTCCAAAGTTTGTTTTTTTAAGATCCTTTATGAAGTGAGCCAGTGTGATGTAGTGGATTGAGTGCTGGACTACAACTCTGGAGACTAGGGTTCAATTCCCAGCTCAGCCATGAGACCCACAGAGGGGGGTTGCAGACTGCCAGAAATAGTGCAAATTGAGTCCACTTTTAGGGTTAGGGTTAGGGAATCATGGGAACTGTATTTTATTGTGGCACCAGAGCTCTCTGACAGAGAAGGCTCAATGTCTCAGGGAAAAAAACCAAAAACAATTCCCATGACTCCCTAGCACTAACCCTAACCCTAAAAGTGGACTCAATTTGCACTATTTCTGGCAGTCTGCAACCCCCCTTGAATGACTGTGGGCAAGTAAGACTCAGAGGATGGCAATGGCAAACCTCCTCTGAAGAAATTTTGCCAAGAAAACCCTATGATAGGTTTGCCTTAGGGACGCCATAAGTCAGAAATTACTTGAAGACATACAGCAACAAAAATTAAAACTAAAATGCAATAGGAATTCTTAAATCTAAACATATAAGCAGTGAGATTTATATAAACATATAAATCTAAACATATAAGCAGTGAGAAAGCTTGCTAGTGTAACAGGAACTCTTCATTATGACTTAAGTAGATGTTCAGGACTCTATGGGTGAAGACCCTTCTTTAGGTAACACAGTGCTAGACTGTTTAAAGCTTTAAAGATAACAGCCATTATTTTGTAATCAGACTGGAAGTGATTGTAATGGGTGCAAAAGAGGTGACATGTGCTCAGATTTTCAAGCTCCCATTAGCATTTTGTCAGCTACAATTTGTTCCACTTGAAGTGTCTGTACCAGCTTCAAAGACAGTCAGGCAGTGTAGTGTTTTACAAATAACCTGATATAGGCAGTGGGTTATTGTAACTAGGCCTGACAGTTCCAAATAGGGCCACATTGCAGTGTTTGCAAGTCAAAATATTCTAGGTGTTTTTGACATTGTAATGTGAATGCATGATTTCAGTTTTATTTTAGAAACTTTTCCAGTGTTGTGTAGAATTATTCAAAGAAGAAAATCAATGGAATGTGTAGTCCCCCGTTAACTGTTCCATCTTCATACATGGCTTTAATTAAAAAAAAGCAAGCAGTATTAATGCACCTTTGCCACAAGATAAGAGATGTTTGTTTTTGCTTTTTAAAATCATATTAGAACATAAAGTCCTGCTGGATTATTATGCTCTCTGGTCTGTCATGTTTCCCACTATGGCCAGCCAGAGGCTTCTGGGAAGCCCATAAACAGGATATGATGGCAGTAAATTTTTTCCCTCTGTTTCTCTCTGGAACGGGGGGGGGGGGGGGAATCAGTTGCTTAGAGGGAGGCTGGAGAGATTTTTCTTCCCATTCCCTGTTGCCTATTAGTCTGGTTTTTATTCATGATGCTTTTATTACAGACACTTAGACACTTGTTGCTAAAAAATCATATAAATAATAGTGACAGAAAAGGAAAGTACAGTTGCCCCTCTGTTTTCACGGGGGATCCGTTCCAGATCTCTCAGCGAAAATGGAAACCTGTGCATATTCAAGCCCGGTAGGCTTGAATGGAGGTACGGGAGCATGCTGGCACCCCGTTGTATGCCCCTCCGTTTATTCCTCGCACATAAGCGAGGGACGTAGATCCGAAGCCAGTGAAAAAGGAGGAGCTACTGTATTTCTCCAGTTATATTCAATACTGATAGTCGACTTAATAAATGGAGCACAGCCTTCTAGTATTATACTGATTTGTATAATCAGTGTATGCTTTGATGAGGAATCAGTGAAATGAACGCTTTGTTTGCTTTCCCTGGGAGAAAGAATATGGTTGGTGTATGTGGATGCCATTAGCCTGGAGGCAGGGCCAATCAAATAGTTCCTTCACATTGAAAAGCAGCTTATCTCTGTGCCTTCCGTCCTTAACATTTGATGTGTGTTTGCGCTGAACCCTGTGACCTGATCTGCTATACCTAGTCCCTTACTTCTTGCCTATGGTTTTCTGTGATGCTTTCCATTGTAAGAATGTTCTTTAGGCGCACAACTGAAATCCATGTAAATTTTATTTACTTATTAAAATATTTATACCCTGCTCTTTATCCAAAATCACAGGAAAGATTACAACAAGCATTAAAACAAGAAGCTTATCGCATTCTTAAATAATACGGCTTACCTGATCCAGTTTAAAATTTAAATCGGGTGACATCCTGATATTATCAGAAGGATTTAGCTGCCGAATCCACCACCCGGGTCCATCCCCGCTCTCAGGGCTGCTCCGACAGCCATTTTCTTAAGCCAGAAAACTCCTAGCTTCGAAAAGAGGAGCTGGGTTGACCTGAGCAGCAATTTCAGTGGCCAAATTCTTCTGATAATGTCACGATGCCACTCAATT